TTACAGCATCCAGTGCGCCGCAGCGACCGCGAGCGACGCCGCCGAGACAGCAACGCCAACCGCACTTGACGGCGCGGGCGTCGGCGTAACCTTTTTGATCGTCGCAAATGTCGGGACAGGCGTTGGCGCCAACGTAATCACCGGCTCCTCTGTCATGTTGCCAGACATGGAGCCCGACGACGGCTTGGTCGTCGCGGGCTTGGTCGTGACAGGTAGAGTCGTCACGTTCGCGACCGGGGGGGTCGTCGTCACCGGCACCGTCACCGGCAACGTCGTGGTGTTGGGTGCATTCGATGGCAAGGCCGCGTTCGCCTTGATGGCCGTGAGCGCATTGAACGAGAGGACTCGGGCGTCAGCGTAGTTGACGCCCCAGAGCGAGCACGTCGGTCCAAGAACAGCCTGGAAGCGGTCATAGAGGTCCTTGCAGTCGAGCGACGACTGGAAGGCGATCACGTCGTCCTTGGCAGGCACAGCAGTCGTTGTGAAAAAGTCGACGAGGTTGACGCCGCTCGCCTTCTTGCAGCCCGAGTAGCTCATCTGGGCCGCGAGGTACGTCGTAACCGGAGAGAGGTCGGTGGTCGTGCACGGCGCCGCGAGCGCAGCTGCGGCGGAGGCCACGGACATCGCCACGAGCGCGAGCTTCATCATCGTTGAGCCAAGTTTGTAGTGTGCAATGGGCCGCGATCGCCTGCCCCGCGTGACTCACAACCGCGTCTTTTTATTGCGCCACTTGAAGATATCTGAGCATTTGTATGCCAAATGGCGAATGGGTGTATTTTAGTAGCAGACGATACAAATCGCTAGTTGCTGACGAGGGCCAGGTGGCCAGACGGCGCCAAGTGCAAGGACGGCCCGTCTGTACGTCGTCGGCAGCGTCATGTCAGTGTACTAGTACTCACCAAAGCGCAATGCCCTTTGTACACTTTTGGATGGCGGCGTATTGTGCCAACGGACAAGACGTCGGAGGCGCGACACCAGATCACGCTGGGACACATCGTGTGTTGTGTTGGGAGAACTTGGCGGATCTTGATGCCTTCAGCACCTGCGCCTACAAGTTGCATTCGATGTCGAATGGGTTGCACTTCGCATTGACAAAGACGTAAATCATGGCGCGATTGACAATCACAACAAGTTGCGCGGGTCATGAGGAATGGCCTCGACTGCGAGAACTGACGATGTGGGTGCCAAAAGCAGAATCAAGTCGCACCCACGGGCTTGTTTCCGTTGACCTGCCAAGAAATCCTCCATCGCGTGAAAAATCGATGCTTCGCTAAGGAGACGACGCTATGATTGGCGCGCAAATATTCGATAGACCCGTCCGCAAAGCCCACACAGCGCCACGTCATGAGGCGCTGGTCGCCGAACGTTCACTTCAACTCGAGTTGCCTCTTTTTCAAAAATGCAGGTGCCGAACCGTACGGATAAAATTCACCAGGTAGCCTCTGTAGTTTGCCAAAATTTGCCTGGTTAGCGAACGCACATCTGGGAGTCAACTCACTCAAGGACTGTGAATGGACCGCACGCGTCGTTTTGCGTCGGTAGGGGTGGCAGACGTGGCCTGTGCTGGAGCTGCGCTTGCTGTGGCTCATGACGTCATGCGCGAATAAATGTTCCGCATTCAAACCATATTGGAGGTCGAGATCGATGACATGATTCCCGATCCTCGCTAAGTTACTTATATCTACGACGTGTGAGCATTTTCCAAGGTTTTGGCCAGTCGTGCTTCCGATTGGATTCAGCTTCCAACAACCACTGTGGGATGGCGTTCCTTGGAGCGCGGTTTCGAGGCAAAACGAAACAAGGCATGGTTGGCGTTGGACACCGTTGCGGCCTTGGACACCGCGTCTGGCGTCGTGACCGCTGGAGGTGGTGTG